TTCCATAAGGAACCTAAATAATCCAGACTTTGTAAAGAGACTACATTTTATTGATGTTCACTATTCAAGTCAAATATCATAACTGAACTACATGACAACACGTGCAAGATAACAACTGTGGGAAAATGCTGACATAGTCATATTGCACATTGTTAAAATAAACAAGATACCGGATAAATAAATACTTGCGGTCAAGCCGCTGACAAGCTTTAATTATAATTCCAAATGTCTGAATTAGTAAAAGTATTCATTTTTTAATCTATCAACATGTGATATTTATTTTACATGAAATAGATGATCGTAACAATGTATTGAAAATAAAATAAAAATAGAGATATAAGTATTTTGATCTCTTCTATTTTAACGCGACCAGTATATTTATTTTTTTCGGTTAGGAGGCAAGCTTGTTGAGATTGACAAAGCCTTAATTGGTAAAGGATGAAAAAATAAATATTCTTATAGAAGATTTTTATCAAAAGGTTTTCCAAAAAGGGATTTATGTGCTATTAAAGATGGTGTTTTGAATAAAGCTGGAGTTTTCCAGCTTAACATGTGTTTTATTCATGTTATTTTGCATTTGTAATTTGTATATGTTTAATTATATAGTTAGTATTTTCATATGAGGCATTTTACTGATAGATGAGTTAACTTCATTTGTTTACATTTTGTAGATAACCATAAAAGTAGATGGCTACAATGAAGTTTGCTATTCATTGAGTCAGAAGATTTACAAAGAAGAAACATATTATTTATGTTCCTTGGATCTTTAGTTGGAGTTTTTTTAAGAAAGTATCGGATTTATTTTATCTCTTCAGAATTACACAAAAGTACATCAATGTGTCTGTTTTATTGCTATTGAATAATTTTGATTTATCTGTATACATTTATATATATTTTTATTTTTAGTTTTCATTTTTGCGGGCTTGTTTGGCCGGTTTATTTTTATAGGGCCCGCAATTTTTATACCTTGTTTTTCATGTGTGATTACAAATTATTTGTTAAATGAACTTGTACATGACGTGCATAATTTTTTACCAAAATACAAGTTTTGTTTATCTTGTTTTGTATTCTAAGCCAGAGATAATTTTACGTTTTTTTATGACTAAAACTCATAATTATATACAGGGTTCGTTTCATTCAAAATGTCAAAATTCAATATCTTCAAAGTACCTGTTCAGTGAGTACTTTGAAGATATTATTATTTGATAAATTTTGTATAAGTTACACTCTCGGCCATCCCTCATTTCTATTATTGTACGAGTTAGAAATTTTTGTAGGGCCCGCCAAGTTTATACTCTGTTTTTCATGTATGCTTATAAACTATTTGTTAAATAAACTTGTACAATAATTTTCGGCCAAAAATAAAATTTTTATTAATGGTTTTTTTTTTTTTTTTTTTTGAGCTAAAGATATTTTTCCAATTACCTTCTGTATTACTTCCTGTGACAATACAATTGTGTTTTTCTAATATACTGTAGCTTCTTTTAATGCTTCATTATGAGTCCATAACATTTGCAAGGATTAATTTTTTTTTATAATTTTTTTTGATTGTTTTAATCTTTGAATATGAAAACTTTGCCTCACAGCAACAATTTCTCGCATTCTTTTCCGGTTTATTTAATACAACATTGCTCTGTACTCCTCCTGCTCCATACAACGGAATAAAAGTACGCCTAACTGATATCCTTAAAGGGCCATCAACTATTACCTTAAGATTCAAATTATTTATTGATTGTTCTCTTATTTAAATTACACCAATCATCTTCCGTAGAATAAGATATGTTTGCATTGAAATAAAAATTACAATGTACAGAAAAGTTTAACTATATATGTCTGATTTAAATCTCTGACAAAAAAGAGTAGATTAATGGCATATCATATTAAATTTACAATACAGCCTTTGAATTTAGGATTAAACTAGTGTTTCGAAAAGAAATAATAGACGATTTTATTTATAAAAATGTAATACATGTTATTCATGAAAACACTTTTTGTAAAACAATCGAATTTGAAATGAGAAGTTAACAAAACCGTATAGGTTATTATTCGATATAAGGAATTTTAAATATTTTAAGGACAACATTCTCTCTACAAAATATACATTTATTGACAGGTTATCAAATGGTAATGAAAGTAATAGAAAGCATGTTGTCGCTGTGTTTGATTATACCTAGCAAGACAACACCAAGAATAATCTACATACACCGACCGGCAATGGCCAAAACAAAAATGATAAACATGCAGACGATTTATGAGTATACAGTTTAATTTATTCTCACAAGCAGATGATGGTTGCTAACCATAAAAAATTGTAAACAACACGTTTAATAATTTCATGCGTCCGAAGCGCTTTTCTGGATTTACCTTCATCAGGAACGCTCAATGCCAAACATTTGAAATCCGAGGGATGTATAAGTACCGAAACAGTTGAAGAGTTATATGACAAAAATACCTAAAACAAATAGCCAAATTCATCTAAGGTCAACTTTGCCTGAGGGAGTTGAAACCTTAGTTTCTTTATAATTTCAAAATTTATAAACGGACAATTTTAAAAAAGTTAGTTATAAATCATGTCAGTACCGAAGTACTGACTACTGAGCTGATGATACCCTCGGGGACTGATAGTCCACCAGCAGAGGTATCGACCCAGTGATGTAAAAAATTGAAAACAACACGTTTAATAATTTCATGCGTCCGAAGCGCTTTTCTGGATTTACCTTCATCAGGAACGCTCAATGCCAAACATTTGAAATCCAAGGGATGTATAAGTAACATAAGTTATTCTGACATATTAAAAATGATATACAAATCTGGGATAATTCTTATTTATCAGTGTAATAGTCTTTAAATATACTGCCGAAATGTTTCCTATGGAACCTTTATATATTTCATATAAAAACGGTTATATCTGACCTAGATTTTAAATGTTTAGTCTTACAAGGGAAACTTTACAAAATCCATACCACAACAGAGACATTATTTCGTTCCCCAATGTCAATTTCCCCTTCTCGGACAGGAATGTTCCTATCACACAATATAATGGTGTTAATATGATTATATATCCAAACTCACCCGCTTTGTCCGTGTTTGAAGTGACGTTTTGGCTTTCAATTTTGCATTACTGGTAATGTTTCGAGTCGAAAATTTTGTTATAACAAATTTACAAAACTTTTACTAAATTCTTCCATGCATACAAAGATTGGTTAAGGAAGTTTGACTTTTTGCTTATTATGTTAATAGTAAATTAAAACCAAACTAAATAGTATTGTTGCACAAACATGTAAACACGTTTTTATATTTTGGCATTGCACGAAGTCATGTTTTTCTCTGGTTAATAACGACTTTACACTATATATCCCCAAGTAACGTTAAGTACTATCAGATCTGTATTTTGTGTCTTTTGTGTTTTTGTTAGGGTTTTTACGTGCTTTGCAACGATGAAATGAGTTAAATCCTTTACAACTGATTTTTAAAACTTGTTCTTATGTTGTGTCGTTACATTACCATTCCAGATGAGGGAGAGGGTTTGGCGCCAGCAAACATCATGTTTAATCCCGCCACATTTCGTATCTTCTGTCTCAAGTCAGGAGCCTGTAATCTCAATGGTTGGACTAAATGACATAGAAATTAACTATAGATCACAGTACGAACTACAACAATGACCAAAAATCACACCTAATAGTTAGCTTAAAAAAAAAAGAAATGACAAATGTAAACCTTTTCAAACAGAAAATTATTTGCCTAATTTATGTTAACACCAACCCAGCACGCAGCGTCATTTTAAACGTTGAAATATTGTTGATATTTTGTCATGACGTTGCTTTAACGTTGTTTCAACGCTGTGACAACAACGTCGAAGTTATGTTGCAGAAAGTAAGTTGTTTCAACGTTGAATTTTAGTTGAATTTTTAATGTTGAAGTTAGGTTGAAGTAAATATATTGTTCCAACGTTTAATGGTGGTTGACATGTCGACGATGGAAGTTCGTCGAGAAAAAAGATTGTATGCATTGGTGTAAAAAATTAATCACCATTAGTGTTAAAGAGAAATCATTATGGTTGTACATCGTTTGTTGTTGCATCAACAAAAGTTCATAAATAAGGATTTTGTTATCGAAAATTGTAATCAATGTCGCCTTTTAATTTTTTTGTACATATCTAGTAAAATCAGGAATATTCCAAAGAAATATAAGCTCAAACCGACGTCTAACCGGGACGTTTATCAATATCATAAAAGTATACAAAAACATCGAAATATGCTACTAACTAATCTTCTCTTTTCCGGAAATATTTTAGACATAGATAAGACACAGCATGTGAAAGTGCAGCATCTACACACCTGATACACGAGGATTAGCACTCCCAATAATCTATTGATAGAATTAAAATGTGACATGATGCTGATTAGTGTATGACCGCACGTGTGTGACCACCTTTTTCAAACGCGGCAGCGATCATCAAGTATGATACAAACACAGGACCGTTTTCAGCAAAGAAAAATTCATTGAAATGTAAGTGTTTCTTTAAATAATTATCCGTTGCTGTATTGATTGTTTCTTAATACTTGATTGGGAGACTATATAATGCACACACGTGTAATATAATGAAAATCTCGCCATATTGCATTTTGTAGAGATATCATTACTGACTTCAGTGTGTCCATCGTCTTTTTTGTTGTACGTTCCAATATGACCGCACCTCTATACAAATCGAGATATAAACATGTACTTTAATCTGGAAACAGCATACTCAGCTTACATAAAGTTTATTCCAGTTCTTTACTGCTGATTTGTTAAAGAAAAGGAACTTTTGCGAAGTAGGATTATCATCTCCCCCTTTTTTATCTAAAATTTTAACCCGTCATCCATAATCACATTATTATAATTATTGTCAACTATGCTCTGAAATTTTTAATGATTTCTTTTTATTCTTGAATCAAATTTTACAAATTTAAAATATTGCATGGCAATGATGATCGATGTTATTCTTATTTTTTGTACAGGTATTAGGGACAGAACAGTAAGAGTTTAAGGAAAATTTGATTATGAGAACAATGCAAAGGTAAGATTTAAGGATAGAGGTAATAGCTGTCAAGGTATGTATTTTTTAAAAATTTTTAACATTTTTAATTATCAATAATCAGTATGTATGTTAGATTGCATGTGTAGTTTGTGTGGATACTGTATGAACTTTGTGATTTGTGTTGATTTACATGCTCTATATGGGCCCTTTAATTAGGAATTTGATATAAGTATAAATATTTTTTTAATGGATATCAAATTTAAAACATTAACTGCAATCAATAAGACGGGTGGCATTGTTACAATAGATTCTGGTGCTCGAGATGGGTGGCATTTTAACAATAGATCCTGGTGCTCGAGATGGGTGGCGTTGTTACAATATATCCTAGTGCTCGAGATAGGTGGCATTGTTACAATAGATCCTGGTGCTCGAAATAGGTGGCTTTTTTACAATAGATCCTGGTGCTCGAAATAGGTGGCATTTGTACAATAGATCCTGGTACTCGAGATAGGTGGCATTGCTACATGTTCAGGAGCGAAAATGTTAAAAACGGATCCGCGTTTATGTAAACCAGTTAATTAATAATAAAAAAAACTGGCGTTATATAACATTTTATTCCATGCCTTTGACGTTCTACCTTATTGTCAACTTATGGTTGTTTTTTTTCAGGAAGAGTAATGAATGTCTACACTAAAATAACAGAAGCTAAACCAAAGAAGGAATATGCACCAGAAATGGTTGGAGTTTGGAGACTACAATTTTTTTCACGAAAATATTAAAAATGAATTAAGAGATTATTTGTTTTCATTTACCAGATCACCTTTTGGCTATATGAGCTTTTTTCATAGCTTGACATCTGTTGTGCTGGTTTTTTTTAAAGATCAAATCTTGCTGATGTCCCCTGTATAGTCATGTGGCTTCAATATCTTTTGTGGTTACTACGTATTATAGATATAACGTGATGTGGTATGATTGCCAATGTGACAAATATCCACCAGAGTCCAATTGACGTGGAGGTCAATAAACGGCCTTCAACAATAAATAACACAACACCGTATAGTCTGCGATAGACGACCCGGACACAATTTTTTTAAAACAATTCAAACGAGAAAAACCAACCGCCTAAATTTGTAAGGACAAACAAATATGACAGATGAACCAACAACAAGCAATGAATTGCTTATTTCAACATGGAACAATGTTGTTGCAATAATAGGGTGAAGTTGTTTCAGTGTTAATTTTCAACCTATATTCAATCCAAAATCAACGTCGATACATTGAATGTTGAAAATATAACGTTGTTTCAACGTCATATATTCAACGGTTGTTCTAACCTTTCAAAACCAACAGTTAATTCAACGTCTTTTGAATTTCAATGTTGAAATGCCTGCTGGGCAATAATGAACGAAAAACAAATATGATATACAGCAACAAACGACAACCACTGAATTACCGGCTCCTGACTTGGGACAGGCCAATGAAGAATGAGGCGGGGTTAAACTAGTTTGAAGGTGCCAACCCTCCCTATGAAACAAAGCCTATTTTTTTTCTACGGATAACGTTTGTTTGTTTTTTATTTTTCAGGATAGCCTATTTATTATTATATCATCGGTAATTCATTGCTGAATTAAGCGTTTTATGTTGACATCGAAATATTGATCATTTAATTAACTAATGTATTATATAGCAAAATAATATTTCCCACAGAACGTAACAAAGTTAACGTGCAATACCAAAATTATGGCTCTCTGAGAAGGGTGATATCCACAACTCCAGACTCATAGGTACATGACTGTTTTAATATACCAAACACATATTGGCATCTAATTTGGTCTATGGAAAAATAAATGGTTATTCAACGGCGGTGAATGATAATGTTATTCACCGGAAGTTAAAATTTGTCGTTTTCGAGGAAATATCCGAATAAATTCATGCTACGGAATCTTTTATTAGCCAATATATTTATTCAACTATACCTGTACTGTGAGGTATACTAACCTTTCAACTTACACAAGTACTATTTGGGCATAGTTACACATAAGCGCTCTCACCAGTGAAAACATATGTTTGAAGAGGTTTTTGTCAAACGTTATTACCCAATAAAAAGGAATTGAATGTATACGGGGAATATTATCATCCGCAGAATTTAAATTGCACCCGAAAGCTCGTCCCATATGAAAAATAACTTTGAACAATAATCGCCAATATTCATTCAATAACCTTATATTCTAATTCTATTAATTACTCTCTTCTAATCTCGTAAAATATGCTGACTCGTGCTCAATGTGCAGTAAGGCTATTTAACTCTTTGATGGGAATAACCATCGATTGATTTTTAATAAGTAAATTTAAAGTTAGAAAGCTAAAAAGCTCATAATTAAGAAAATCCGTATCTCACGTACACAAATGTACTATGTTTTGTTTGACATGCTTGTTTTCAGACTAACCATATCAGTTGTCTGAAGACGATATTGGGCAACAAATAAAGTTTATAGTTATTGAAATTCGAAACTTGTTCTGCTCTGCATGCATTTGCATAAATCTTGTTACAACAAATTTATAAAATAAGTCATTAATCTTGAAAATAGGGAAATCCAGTTGTTTGTCGTTCAAAATCAATAGTGGCATACTACCCCAATATTAAGATTATATTATTGATTTAGTCATTAGGATTACTTACTATCTTTAGTGTCTTATACATTCCTGAATGATTAAGCAAATTCAGATTTGCTTTTTCTAGTTTTGCAGGGAACTGTATTTATTTCTATATGATATTGTTACATCTTTCAACATTCAACAAGGCATAATTGGTAGCGACTTAGCAAACAAACTTTTAATTGTGATTGGCACATGTAACAACCGAAGTATTTTAGCGCAGTATAATTACGTCTCAGCAATAGGTCAGGATTTCAACCTCATTTAATAAAGATGTTTTGCTGCACTATGTTCTTGAACCTCAGGCTCCATTATTAGAATGCAACTCATTCTTCACATTCCAAGTTATGTTTGAAAAATAGTCCATTCAAGTTGTTATAATAATGATACAAACATTGTTAATTGTTACCAAAAAGTTGCATTTAATTGTAATGTAGCAGATTACATTAATAAATATAGCCAGGTTTGTCTGGTCTGTCTTCAAACTCTTCAAAATGGGACAAATGGCTGTGTTTCTACCACTATTTACACTTAATATATATTTTAAGTTTTGATAGCAGTTGAAATGAACTTCAAATGATGTAGTATAACATGTGTAAGTTAATAAATTGGTATAATCTATATTACATATTTCTTACCTTTCGTAAACTGCTTTTCAAAATGGCATTTAACATAATGCGTCATAATGTTTCCTTATCAACAAGGTTGTATGGTGGACCATCTTTATCAAATATGTAAATTACAAATAATAGTACAAGGAAAATTCCTAAAATAGTAGGCAAGTAAGGATAACAAAGATATTTGACTTCATTTTCTGATCGAAATAATAATTGAACATTTTTATATGGATATATTTGAATCATTATATTTTATTTGTCAACTTTCTGGCAAATACGTTTTACCGTAGTTCATTTGTTTACAAATACATGTACATTCAATCCGCCATTTAATTTGTGTTTTGATATATTTTAAAAGGTAAGTTATTATATATTTTTACAAATGCCTAAAATAGCTGCTTATTACATTTAAGAGAATGATAATCCCTTTCTTCATGAGTAAATACGAGTTTAAGCGAGTGTTTATCATGAAGAAAGGGATTATCATTCTGCTACAAACTTATTGTACACTGGTAAATTGACTTAGGCTCAAATGATCTCTTGGTTGGTTGTTTTCAAGAATTAGTTTCAGTGTTATTGCAATATTTATAATAAATGCAAGACTTCCTTTTTATGCATTTCATTTATGGATTATTTTTAGTGGTGTAAGGACTTAATTACAATTTTATGAATTATGATGAATTGTGATTTTTACAACAGTACAATGAAATGGTACGAATAGAATATACTACCTAATTGTGAGTATGAATGTAAAACATATAATGTCTTAGTGAGGAATTACCTTTTTGTTTATCATGTTTATCATGTTTATTTACAGTTCAAATCAATCAAAAAATATTTGTGTTACAGTTAAAATTTATTTCACAGCCAATATGTTAGTCCAGCTTTTTACATTTTAAACTACAATATTATGTCAAAAAAAGATCAATACATAATTATAACCAACCGCGGATCAAGCAATGTTGAGTTCATAATCGCAATAGGTACAGATTCAAGTCATATTTAATTCTGAAACTTTTTTATTTTGTTTGCATTGCTTTGATATGCATTGTACTTTAATGTTTAATAATCTAAAGTTATTTGAAAATATACTCATAATAACATTCATGGTTAACTTTAACTTATTTAAATTTTGTTTATTTGTTTCAAAATTTAAGTTTAAATTCTTCAGTTTCAATCACAAATCCTTTCAAACTGAGAAACGTGCGTCGCGGAAGTTGTAGCTCATTTATAGAAACTCTTTGTTTTGAACTGTAAATAGGTCTTAACAAACTCATTCTTCACAATTAAGAGACATAAAATTCTACAATTTCATTGATCGAGAGCACTTTGTTAATGTTAAAACAATAGGAATTCACAGGTGGATCTGTTATTGATTATAAGATCTGCCTGGATAACTTTACACATTTTCATACAGTGCTAGCTGTAATTCAGCATTTATAGTTGATTCCGAAAAGAAGAAAAGTTTACATATATTTATATACCTACACTGGAGTTATCTTCTTACAGAACGATAGGTCGTTCTTTTAAAGAATCAACCCGCACGATACAAATTTTCAATGAAATTTGCCCCAAGGCATAAAATAATGACCTGTATAAGGTCATTATTTTCCTAGTTAAAAGGCAAACTTTAATTTACTTGAACATTAAATTCGTTTGATAGCTATCGTGTGTTGTTGTCATTTGAGGGTTTACACTCTAATTTTCCATATTTCGTAGGTTTCAGGCACAAACAATCCTTTATTCCGTTTATTAGACTGAAATATCAAAAATCGTCATTAACGCATATTTTCACTTCCAAAACAAATAATGTGAAGTTATGTTAATTTTACGATACAATAAAGGGACATTATGTGAGATGAATTTAATAATGCAATCATTTTATAACACTTTAAATCAAACCAGATTTAACACATTATGTGTAGGTTTTGAAAATCGTATTTATTTACATTGTATTGGAAATCATACTTTGACCTATGGATATTCGTTTTTCGTGTTACATGTACATGTATCATGATTTCGTGCTCTCTTCATGCCAGTTTTTGTTTACATCTTAATATACCTTTTACTATATCTAATGATAAAATGATTCAATATTCTTATTTTCTATAGAATAACAGCCACGTACTTTAAAATGGGGAGGGGATATAATTAATATGTATTCCTAAATCTGAGTTTTATATATATATAAAAAGTTGTATTGTCAGCCAAAAGAGAGAAAACAATTACTCTGAATTGTTCGTTTATAAAATTGTTGTAAAATACAATTTGCCGCGATAAAAATGTAATGAAAATAAAGTTGATACAATACATTACTTACAAAGTGACTTGTATTTTCATACACCGTAACAATTCATTTGTGTCTTGCTTCATGCAGTTATATGTACAGTAATATTTCTATTCAAACTGGACAATGATTTCTAACGTTTATATATCTAGTTTAATTAGTGAGTTTTATTACACATTATCAATGAGCCGTAGCGCATATTAAAACCTGAACACATCAGAAAAGAATATCACTCTTTCGTGTGGTCGGTAAAATGGGATGTAAATAATGAAAATCATTGCAGAAAAAAATATTTATTGATGGTATATAAGTCAGATAATGCATATTTTAAGGGTTTTTTTTGTCGTATTACACACCTCGGAGTGTCAGGATTGCCCAAAGACGACCACACTAGGGTGTTTCATAGTGAACTGATATAAGTTGGAGATTTCTTTTTATCGGTAAGTAGATATAAGCAGATGTGGTATGAGTGCCATTTAGACAACTCTCCATCAAAATCACAATTTGTAAAAGTAAATCACTATAGGTCAAAGTACGGCCTTCAACACGGAACCTTGGCTCACACCGAATAACAAGCTATAAATGGCCCCAGAATGACTAGTGTCAAACAATTCAAACAGGAAAATCAACGGTCTAATCTATATCAAACGAGAAACGAGAAACGAGAAACTCTTATGAACCACATCAACAAACGACAACCTCTGGACAACAGGTTCCTGACTTAGGACGTGTGCAAACAAACGCAGCGGGTTTAAACGTTTTAACAGGCGCATACCTTCATCCTAACCTGAAATAACAGTGTAACATCACAACATAGAAAGGAATGGTTAACAGTTCGAAATCTACATAAAGATATATTACATTTATATTAAGTTTATTTCAATGCTAAACGTTTCTCAAGATAAAACTTTTACAATCAGTATTAAGTATTTGTTATGATTTATGTTATTAACACAATGGTTTTCCCCATTTTAATCAGCATTAAAGAAATTACGAACTACGCAATTAATATAAATTTTAAACTTGCTTTCCAATCTAATATAACTTCAAGGCTGACTGGGCAATAGAAATATGGTAACTACATGTCTATCATTTGCCAATGTGACGGACGGCCTCTATTAAATGACCTCCTATTGTGTTTATTGTCAATTTGTTCTCGTCCTAAACATGGATGAAATATTTGTCACTGGAAGTTAAGCAACCAATAATCAATCAATCCAATCTAACCATTAGTTTTGTTTTATTCTTCTATTTTTTATATTCAACTATCTTCTATTTTTTTTCTATCTGTTTAAGGTCATTATTTACCCTTGTCAAAATTAAAACTACTGTTTGTTAAAACATTTCATGCATTTGAAAGTAGTAACGTGTTGTTACCAATTTAGGGTTTTACTGTGCAATTTCCAATCTGTAATTATAGTCGTTTAAAGATTAAGGCAGAAATAAGCATTTCTATCATTTATTAGACTGAAACATCAGTTAACGTCGTCAACGCAGAGTTTACTCTTTTCGAAATAAACAATTTGACTGTTTGTAAACTTATCGTTACATAAAGTGACATTAAGTAAGGGTAAAAACTATTGTATGACAATTCATTGAAAGGTTTAAAAACAAAACACATTTTATCTCGTTCGTGAGCAGGATTATTAAAAACATAAGTATAAAACCTTGCTGAATTACAGCGTATTTTAAATCGTACTATTACATATAGATGTCCATTTTTTGTTTCATGTTACTTTAACATTATAATTTTGTGCTCTCTTCTTGCCAGTTCGTGATTTCTTTACATAAATATACACCTTGTGATGTCCGGAATGGAATAATAAAGACTTAAGTCTTATATTTGACTAATCCCGATACTCCTTCGCGTGTTACACACCAAGAAAACCTTTGAAATAAGCATTGCCTAAAACGTAATCCGAAAAATGAATAAGTGTTTGCAATGATTCGTATTGAATTTTTCATACTGTATTGATTACTCATTTTAAAATAATTCCAGATCTATGAAAATCAGATATGTATAATTGAAGAGTATAACATGGCTGCGGTAAGTAAATGAAACATCTCTTTAATTAAACAGATAGTTAAAAGGTTAAACTGACAGGATATAAAGACTACTTATATGTATTGATTTCATAAATAGTAAATGTGCAAGGTAAAGTTATAATCGCAAAGCATCTTTTAGTATATCATTGTGAGATTTGACTCCTGGTTTGCCATTTTTATTACAGCAATCTTCATTCAGTAATGTTAACACACACAAATAAACAAAGGATTGGTGTAAAAGTATAGGTTGTCTAAACAAGATCGGTGTGTACTTCTTTTGGGGGTTGATTAAAAGATTTAAATACAATAACAACTCAAATAGTTTTAACAAAGTTTACTTTGATATCGATCGAATGCAATTGCTTAACTGATAACACGTGTAAATGATTGATGTATTACAAATTTTTTATGATTATAGCCATTTTCAAGTTTCTAGGTCATAATCATGTAATAAGAGCTAATAAGTATGATATATGATCAGGTGTCTTTGAAAGCATAGATTATTAGGAAAAACCTTATGTTAAAATCGAAATATAGGAAGCATTATGCGTGAATACAAATAGATATAAAGCAAATACTGCCCGTCAGAGTTAAACTAATAATATGAAGTACTATTATAAAAAAAACCTCCATCAAAAGCGCAGTTTTGATCACTAAATATAGTTTTGGTAGCTTAGATTCAGAACATAGATAATTTCTTGTCAATAATAAAGCTTTTTTACTGGATAGTTGCATCATTTAATGTAACAACTAACTAATTATTTTATCAAATTCAAAAATATGTAAGTTCAAATTAAACACTAAATTTAATAAAATAATTTTAGAATACATGGCACTTCGTTTTAATGCCGAGCCGCCGGGAAATTGTGTAAAACATTTTTGAATTTAATATGAAATTTAGATATATGTTTTTTTTTATGATCACTGACAGAAGTCTGACAAGTATTTTTTTTATTCTTTTCCGTATTTTACACGTACAACAAAGCCGCGTTATTACATGGTCTATTAAGATAGTCTGGGGTAGCATTTCTTTAAAAAAATTTAACGATTGTTGGCTGCGGTGACTGTATACTGCAATTTCATTTGGAGCTAGATTTTCCATTCTCCAGCTCTGATAGAATAACAGGAGATTTGATCGAAGGATACAAAATATGTTGGGCAATTTGAGGTCATGTGTGCATACACATAGAACAAGTTTTTAGTTTTGCTTTTGCACGGGGTTCTGAGTTCTTGTATGGAAAAATGCATTGTTTTATTTTTACTTTCATCAAATAGTTGGTTTGGTTACCACTGTTGAGATATGCGTTTATGAAGTTCTGTATATATCAACGTTCGAAGTATTTCACCACTTTCAATTGCATATATCCTTCATACCATACAGTATGGTGTATTCCATAGTGTATGAGAAAGATGACACGAATGGAAATTCATATACTGGCATGTACGATTTTCACGTAATAGATATCGATGATGATTTGAGTACAATTTTTGTAAAAGAAAAATATCTAGAAACGGCACATATCGAAATCTCTTAAATGGTTCAGGAAGAGACAGATCAAGGTCACAAACAAAAACTGAAGTAAATGTCACGGAACTCCAAATAAATGAGATAGGATGTGTCAACATGGTTTGCTGCTACTGATACGAATGCATCAGCCGTCGTGCTAATCTAGACTTTAATTGACGATCATTGATTTGATTATTCCATAGAATAAGTTGAACTATCTATATTTTAGATCAATCCATTACAACAATTGATAACTTAAAACAAGTTAAATTGGGTTTTGATTAATTGGTTGATTGGTTTATTATTCTCGCTACAATGGCAATATTGGGCCACATAGTACATCATTCTCTTTATTATTAGAAAGTACATTTAAGGGTAATCAGGGAAGGATATTTAGTAATTTTAAAGGAGTTCATGTTATCTGCTCCAAAATATAACGCATTCGTCGAGATATCATCTCCTATTATTCATTTTGTAAATTTGGAAATCTTGATCTAAGCAATACGCTACTTTTCATACATTTGCTATATCAACATTTGAATAACATAGGACAACCTTGGTATTATTGCTGTACCCCCTTACGTTGTTGAAAAAATTCTGTATATACTTTATTTTGCTGGCATACTGCATTTTGTATTCGTTATTTTTTGCTATACCTTAGAAAAACTACTTTTTGGGAGTCGCAGTTCCATAGAAAAGTGTTGTCCTTGTACGTACGCAAATCCAGATATTTACTGATCTCTTTATTATCAAGTTCTTTCCATTTTTCCGCGGAAAGACCATATGATTTGTTTTGGCTATTATATGTTTGTCTTCTATCGCCAAACCTTTTTTTTGTGGTATTCAGTGGTTTGGCAAGATATCGCTTATATGTTTTGGATATTATATCGAATAGTTAATGTGCTTTTGAAACTTACCCCGTTTAGCAGAATAATTTTTTTTGTAAAAGTTATCTCCCAATACACAGTTTTTTTCTCTATTTCTAAACCGGAAGTACCAAATATTATCTATATTTCAGGCAAAATAGATATAAGAAGATGTGGTATGAGTGCCAATGAGACAACTCTCCATCCATGTCAAAATTTATAAAAGTAAACCATTATAGGTCAAAGTACGGTCTTCTACACGAAGCATTGGCTCACACCGAACAGCAAGCTATAAAGGGCCCCGAAATTACTAGTGTAAAACCATTCAAACGGGAAAACCAACGTTCTAATCTATATAAAAAACGAGAAACGAGAAACACTTATGAACCACATCAACAAAAAACAACTACTGAATATCAGGTTCCTGACTTAGGACAGGTGCAAACAATTGCATCGGGTTTAAACGTTTTAATGGTACCAAACCTTCACCCTTATCTGAAACAATAGTGTAACATCACAACATAGAAAGAAACACTATTAAATATCAAATGAAATGGCTTAACTCAATCAAAAGACATATTAACACCAGTGAACATACACTGAACAAAAAAAAAATGATCTATGATACAATGTAAATACAAAAAAAAAATAAACTAAGGGAAGAATAATTAAAGTAGCATGCTATACCGCTTTGAAATGTTAAACAATTTAAGAAAAACAATATGCCTGAACAAATATATCAGCCATTTGCAATTACTTTAAACACAGGTAAATGAAAATAAAAAATGTTTTAGTTTGCTGCTGACAAAATCGATATTAGTGCCAATGTAAACTATATTCAAAGATCTAATTACAACATTGGTAAGATAACCTTTACTAATAAGTTTGTTTAAAGGTTCGATGAGTTTACACGGATCACATAGTGATTTCCGCGCTTTAAGTACAATATTACAATTATTAAAAGTACATATACCCATTGTTTTTGGTATCTGTGTGAAAAAGGTATTATATGAGACCGGAAGCAACATTTTCGAAACCGGAGGTAGAAAATCATCCGTCTAAAGTATATAGAAACCATATATTTTTTGAATCAGTATGAAGAAATCTATTATAAGACGCCAATAGTACTTTAGAGTAAATCTAAGAAGCGTCTTATCAATTATTACGAAATTTAATGTGGAAAGACTGTTAATTGTTCTCTGAACAATGATTTTGTTTTATGTGTTTCATCCGGATTTTGCTTTTAACCTTTTTTTAATCATTCAATTGGTCAAGTTTTCTTTGCTTTAATTCTTGTCCATGATTATCGTAGTGTAATCTGAATCAGCTTCTTCAAAAATTAGTGTGGGATCGTTCTTTGAAATGTCCAGTTTTCATTTCAATTTTAGAAAGGATGTGTTTGGAGGCTCCAGTGGGAAAAGATTTCATTGTGTCATTGTAATTGTTAATACATACACATTTTTAAGGATTTGCATTAAAAATTTATCTGAATCTCACAAGCAACATTTAGTTCGGGAATATTTAAGTAAGGTTTAACGAGGTTTAACGAGGTTTAACGAGTTAAAATTCTTCAGAGAGTAATTTGAACTTATCTTCAGTTATTGATCTGATTGATAGGTTTATGATTCTAAGATATGTTCGTTCTAACCTGGAATTGGATAACATTGTTAACCGGTTTTGTTTTCTCTTAATCGAATTATGACTTTTGAACAGCGGTATACTAATGTTGCCTTTAATTACTTGTATAAGACTTGTTTGTTGTCGGTATATGTTAATTTGTGAAAAAAAATCTCGTCCACGTCTTCCGGATTTTGAAAAATATCATTTGTACACGGGTTTTACTTCATCAGGTTTAACGATACAGGCTGAGGTGCTTTTTGTTGCAACAATTCTTTATCTAATTTTGTAAAGACTATCTACCCTATTTTTTTGTTTATTGTTCGAAAGTCATTATCCTCTTTCTAATTACATTGTATAATTTCCCTATTGCCTTTTTCACCTTACTTTTATAATGATTTTCCGAGAAAGAACAATTATAGTGTTTGCGGTTTTTATTGAACTTTAAGTTTATTTTTTATGTACATCAACAAATTTGTCGACATTACCAGTAAGTAGTTGCATAAAAGAATGACGCTTCTATCGTCCCTATTTTCGACCCCGAAATACACGCCTATATCCCTAAATTTAAATTTTCTATTCCCGAAAATGAAAACAATTTACGTTAGGTCAAGGAACAGAAAATGGACTATGTTACATAGTTTGGTAATATTTGCATGTAGCTTTGGATCGCTGAACTAAACAAAAAATCGAAAAAATAATGCATTCATCTCTTTTCAAATTTTCAAATCGTTAAATTTTTCGAACAAATTATGTGTTGTTGATACATAAATTTCCTATTATTAACCAATATGAAAACTAGTTAGTAGTGAAAAACGTACAAAATCCACGTTTTGCGGCCTACAACGCGATATCGTATTGCTTATTTCGACGTTTTGTAGCATTTTTTACCTATAACACAACTTTGAAAGATGTTTACCGTAAATACGAGGTCGGTGACCCCATTATTATTTTATACCATTGAATGTCATATGCTATGTTATATTTTGTATATAATTGTTTCTCATTGTCTTCTCCCGGAGCCTTCTGTAAATATATAAAATTAGAAAGCAGCAGACCAGACATGTTAGAGTTTTACTTCTTGTGATTAGTAGAACCTTCTTTCACATAGTGTAAAATTATACTAGCTTAAGAGTAATTAGGTACATGAAACCTCTATATTCTTGATCTTTTAAAAACATTTTTAATTTAGACGTTTTTCTGACTAAAGATGTTAATTTAATTTTAGGTAAAAAACATTGCCATAATTGGACGTATTGGAACAGGGAAAAGTGCTACGGGCAATACACTATGTGGACGCAAAATATTTAAATCAAACTTTTCTGCAAATTCAGTAACTGAGAACTTTTTATCACATGAAATACAGTGCGAAGAACACAATACCATTCTTCGTATTATAGACACTCCTGGTATATCTGGAAGCACAGAACACGATAACCATTTCTTGATCGAATTAAAAAAGGTCCTAAATGAATACGATTCCGGTATTCATGCAATATTAGTAGTTTTATCACTTCGGGAAAGTTTTACAAAAGCAGTTCAAGATTCTTTTGCATATTTCACGAGTATTCTTGGTGATAGTTGGGAACAATTCGGCATTTTGATTTTTACAAATCCCGATTCGCTTGAGGACCCGCTGAATGCAAAGCAATATATAAAGAAAAGTAAAGCTTTCTCTAAAATAAGGAAGCTTTTTGGCAAAAAATATTTTGTTGTTAATAATACAAAACACTGTCCAAAGCAACTTTCCCAGCTATATTCATTAATAGTGCAAACAATTGACCAAAATGGTTCATCTGTGTACACGGATGCACGTCTGACATCAGCAGAAATGTGTCGTAATGAACAAGGCGACATGAATGCAGAGATGTTGCTAAAACGACAATTCGAAGATAAATGGAAAACTGAGAGTATGCATATGGAAGGTAATAATTTCATTATTAGTTATGCAAGCATAAAATACCTATTTGGACTATCTCAGAATTGTATGACTCAGGTACAAAAAATGTACACAATGGGTGAACATAACATTATTTCATTGAATTGTTCTCATCAATTATCTTTTATCGAAAGCCATTTAAAGACGACGTATTTTTCTTACATCTTTATCTAGATCTAATTTGAAAGTTTATTTCAATAACTGTAAATATTGTGTGGAAACCCAACTGCTACATACGTAAGCGGATAACTAATCTCTTTGTCCCCTGCCTACAAAAACAAGTGAAAACAATAGATAGTTGAGGTCTTTTGTACTGGAACCACTTTTGAACTAAACTTTATTGTAGCCCAACTGGTATTTTCTTGTCGTTTTATATATTTCATCAATAAGATATCAAATTTGATATAGATTGCTAAGTTTCATGATAGTATAGCAATATTTATTCCTGTCAACAAAACGATGCTGAATACTGCAAGCTATTCTTGTGTGGTGAAAAGGATTATGATATTAAATGTACATTACCATTCTGACAATAAGGTCCCATCTGATTAATTTCTATTTAATGTGAATGTTTGCTTTATAAATGGAGGGCGAGCGAGCAAATGTTTATATTTACTTATTCAGAGGCAAACACTTTTTGCGCTAGCTATCGACAAATTTTGAATATATATATAAACATATAAAACTATAGAGAATTGTATGTGATTTTAATTACATGTATTACTAAATGTATTGCAAATTTGTCCTTTTTATTCATATGTATTTAAAAATAAGGAGATGTGGTATGATTGCCAATGAGACAACTATCCACTAAAGTTTGAACGAAGTGGATGTAAGCAAATATTGTCAACCGTACGGCCTTCAACAATGAGAAAAACCCATACCGTATGGTCGGCTATAAAAGGCCCCAACATGAACAATATAAAAACAATTCAATTAAGAAAACTAACGGCCTAGTGTATACCAAAACAATTTACGAAAAACAAATATGATGGACATGATCCAGACAACCACTGAATTACAGGCCCTGACTTGGAATGTACACATTGGACATTGCAATATAATTCTAATAATCTATAAAGGCGAAATGGAAATTATCATCTTTTATGACAGACTTAAAACAGCTGATGGTATACCAACTTCTTGCCACTATACATCATTTACTGTGTAACAACCCTATGTAAAGCCAACGAAGAAAGGCATTACTCGACTAACGAAAGCTACATGTATATTCTAATATACAGATAGGCGCAGTCCTAACCTGTACAGCAAGCTAACTTGCTAAGAAGTCATTTTGACTGGTTAAAGTTAACCTGTGATAGGATTTAGGACTGCTCTGGCCAGTCCTAGGACCACAATCAAGTTAACTTGTAAAGCGGACTTGGTCTTACGACTGTTTTTTTGACTGCCGAAAAATTTAACTTGGATACAGGTCTGCTACTATTTTAAACTTCGAAACCAGTCCTGCCATGAGTTACCTTTGATTTTGACATCTCCGCTCGAACCAGACCTGACCTCAAGTTAACTTTTGGCTGGTCTGCTCAACACAAAGTTAACTTGTAACCGGGACCGCTCTACATCGATTTTTTTTATAAAATATTTTTAAAATTAATGTCTTTGTTTCTTGATATTTATGGTCGGCTATGGTTCAGAGCACCCACATTACTAATGTTTCTTTTTATGCGCCAATTAATAGTGCTAGCATGTCCTCTTCTTATTCAAATAATTGAATCATCACCAAAAATCAGCAGTTTTCATATCTCAGACTGGCTCGTATAACAAAATTTTTTGACGGCACCAACCAAAACTGACCGTATTTGCACTTTATTATGTAAATTTATATAGGCACATAAAAAATCAGTAATTTAAATTTTTTGTTATGTCAGGATGGATTGTATGATATAAATGACAGCAATATTGGAACACAATGACTACAAAATTTTGTCCGCATCAATTCAGAGTGCCAGCATGTTCTCTATTTATTCAAATAATTGGCTTGTAACAAAAATTCAGTATTTTTGATACCTCAGGCTGGCTAGTATAACAAAACTATTTGACGGCATCAACCAAAACTGACCATATTTGTACTTTATTATGTAAATTTATATAGCCGCATAATAAATCAGTAATAATTTTATGTCAGAATGGATTGTATAAAACAAAATTATAGCAATATTGGAACACAATGCCTACAAAATTTTGTCCGCATCAATTTAGAGTACAAGCATGTCTTCTTTGTTCAAAATAATGACTCTTTACAAAAACTCAGTAGTTTAGATAGCTCAGGATGGTTCGTGTTACAAAATTATTTGACTGCATCAACCCGAACAGATTATATTTGAACTTTATTATGAAAATTTATATAATTACATAGTAAATGAGTAAATTTTCTAAATCAGGATGGATTTTTTAGTACAGCATGTCCTCTTTTTATTCAAAATCTTGACGTGTCACAAAACATCAGTACTTGTATTATCTCAACCTGGCTCGTATGACAAAAATATTTGACTGCATCAACCCACACTGACCATACATTGTTTATTTGTTCTTTATAATAAACATGATACAAGTATGACATGTATGAGGTGGCATTTTCTGGGAATCCTTTACTGACTGGCCATAATATTATGATAATTTGCAATTTTATAGCAGCATCATAAATCATAAATTTGTCAACTCAAGATGGCTTGTATAAAACGAATGATAACAATATTGGTACACAATGGCCATAATGACTACTATATATTCTCCTCGTCAATTTAGAGGGCCAGCATGTCCTCTTTTTTTTCAAAATCTTGACGTGTCACAAAAAATTAGTACTTGTAATATCTCAGGCTGGCGCGTATGACAAAAATAGTTGACTGCATCAACCCACACTGACCATACATTGTTTATTTGTTCTTTATATTACACATGGTACAAGTATGACATGTATGAGGTGGTATTTTCATGGAAACCTTTTCTGACTGGCCATAATATTCATGATAATTTGCAATATTATAGCCGCATCATAAATCATAAATTTGTCAACTCAGGATTGCTTGTATAAAACGAATGACAACAATATTGGTACACAATGGCCATGATGACTACAAAATATTCTCCGCGTCAATTTAGAGTGCTAGCACTTCCTCTTCGTATTCATAATATTGACCGGTCACTAAAGTCAGTAGTTCAGAATGGTTTGTATAACAATACTATTTGACCACATCACCCAATACTGACATGACTGATTATATATTTGTACTATATAATGAAAATTATGAGAATTTCTCATCTAGGAATAGTATACTGACTGACTGTTAGTATATTATGTCTGTTGATTGATTTTGGTGGTAGCTGAAAGTCCAGGGTCAAATATTTCATTCATGTTCAGAACGAGTATATTTTTTCGGAATTCCCAGATATCATTTATAATCGGTAAACATGGTAAAGATGAATCTGCCAAAATTACCGAGATGAATCATAACTTTACAACACCTTAATTATATATCCGGACACTATACACTTTTCGTTTGAACATTTTGTGAAAAAAACAGAATCGTAAATCCAAGGTAAACAAAGAAAATTACGATGAACAATCCATGTAATGCATAGAGTTATATTAAGCAACGTCAACAATGATGTTTGTATCCCATCATATAAAAATATTTTTCCGATGCGTTGGATAATCTTTATATCCGCCTTCTAATTAAACAAAAAAGACCTTTGTCGATCAACGTGTGTGAAATTTTATAGCTATTATTTAAAGTATATAAGAATATGAATTGAAAAACAGATTTTTTTTAATGTGTATAATATGGATACAGAGTCACCAACGAGTATAGTAATTTGCTATACTGGGAAAAAAGAACAATACGATTATTGTTTGCATAATAAAAGCCCAGGTCTAAAATGAAAAGTCATAAACACGGTAATCTGTCATAAGCAGACCTGTCCTGAGGTCTGGTCAAAAGCATAACCGTCCACAGGTCTGGTCTGGAGCTGACCAAGCCACAGGTCTGGTCTAGGGCAGACCTGTCCTCAGGTCTGGTCTGGGGCAGACTTGTCCTCAGGAATGGTCCATGGCAGACTTGTCCACAGGTCTAGTCTGGAACAGACTTGTCAATAGGTCTACAGCAGTTATAACAAAGCAGACCTAGGTCTGGTCTACCAACGACGAAGTTAACTTGCTTGTCTGCTTTAAATTTCTTAAGTTAACTTGGAAAGCAGTCAAAACGTCTGCTCCAAGTTAACTTTAACTGTTTACTAAACTTTAAATTTTTGAAATACTAAGGCTATTCTACCTCTGGAATAGATTATCTTAGCTGTATTTGGCAAAAGTTTTAAAAAATTTTGGTCCTCAATGCTCTTCAACTTCGTACTTTATTTGGCCTTTTTAACTTTTTTTGATTCGAGCGTCACTGATGAATCCTGGTATCTATGATGAGTTTATTTGTACAGGTTAGGACTGCACCCATCTGTAGACCTTTGTCGTGTTGTCTAGGGCGCTAAAAAAAGTGCAGGTGGTATTACCACGATGACTCAGATGCAGGGGTAAGAATCCCGCAGAGGGACGAGCTAATTAAAATTTGCAGATCTAACAGTGTTGTGTTATATTTGAGACGAAGCATATATAAATTATGGTGTTAGCCCTGTATAACAAAAGGCTATCCGATGGTGAACGACAGTCGTAAAATTGCCACATATTTAGACGTATATGAAACAATTTGTAATTTGATGTGACGGCATGGTTAGAAAAAAATATAATCCTTTACGACAGACAAGAAACAGCTGATCTGCATGGTATACCATTTATTTGCCACTAAACATCATGTTCTGTGTATTAACTCTACATAAAGCCCACAAAAAAAGGCTAACGTAAACTATTTTAAAATAGACTGGTTGGTCCTGTGTCTTATGGCGTCGGACAACGTGCAGTCGGTGTTGCAACGATGTCTTAGATGCAGGGGTTCGAATTCCGCTGAGGAAAGAACAAACGCACGT